TATATATATATATATATATATATATATATATATATATATATATATATATATATATATATAATATATATATATATATTATATATATATATATATATATATATATATATATATATATATATATTATATATATATATATATATATATATATATATATATATATATATATATATATATGTATATATATGTATATATATATATATATATATCTATATATCTATATATCTATATATATATATATATAGATTATATATATATATATATATATATATATATATATATATATATATATATATATATATATATATATATATATATATATATATATATATATATATTATAATATATATATATATATATATATATATATATATATTATATATGTATATATATATATATATATATATATATATATATATATATATATATATATATATATATATATATACCTTAAATATATTCCCTCCTACATAACCTCCCACATCACTCCTCCAGCTCCTTCTTCCATCTCTCACACTGTCCTTATCTCCCTCTCCTCCTCCCTACCCCCCCCCCCCACTTTAACCCTACCTTTCTCCCCCCCCCCCACTCCTTATCCTTCATTCGCCCACTCCCTCTTTCTCTCCCTTATCTCCCCCCTCCCCTCACCTCATCTGCTTATCGTGGGCGCCTTGTGACTCCCTAAGAGGAGGTTTGGGGGGGTGGGGGGGTGGGGTGCATTCTGAGGTCCCTTGGGCGTCCAGCTGTCTTGGGGATTCTTCTGTTTGTTTTGTTTTGTATGGCTTTATCATTGGGTATTGTTGTTATTTTAGTTAGTATCATTATTTCTGTTTTTTTATGGAATTTATTGTTATTTTGTTTTTGATGTATTATCATTACCATTGTCATTATTATCATTATTATCATTTATATCAATATCACTATTATTTTCTTTATTAACTATTATCATTGCTACTATCATATCTATTTTCCTCATTACTTGTACTACAATCATTACTATTATGATAATGATAATTATTATTATCAAATGGTAAAACACTTATAGGAAACCTCATAATGCCCAAACGGGAATTAGATATTATTAGTATTATGATTTATGTCTTTGTATTGTATTCGGCATTTCACTTAATTTCTCGTTTGGTTCTCTCATATTCTCTCTCATTCTCTCATTCTATCCGTCTTCCTTCACCCTCTCTCGTTCCTTTCTTCCTACACCATCGTTGAAACAACTAACAATTTTGAGTACAAGTGTGCACGTAAACATCCAGTTAAATGTTCATGTGCACTGCTGGCTTACCCATGTGCATACGTGAGTTCATGAGCAAGAATAAGCTCTCATTTCACCACTTTAATCGCCACGTATCCAGTGATCTAACAGCACATTCAACAACACACTTTCCCCCTGCAGTTCTCTTCCTGTAACCATTACCCGAATAGCCGTCATTACTACCGCAAATACCATTCATAGAACCGCTTTTTTAATTTTCTTTTTCGTCCTTGCCGAGAAGATTTATTCAGGGAGGAGGGTGAAGGAAGGAGAGAGGGAGAAAGAATGAGAGAGAGGGAGAGAAAGAGAGAGAGAGAGAGAGAGAGAGAGGAGAGAGAGAGAGAGAGAGAGAGAGAGAGAGAGAGAGAGAGAGAGAGAGAGAGAGAGAGAGAGAGAGAGAGAGAGAGAGAGAGAGAGAGAGAGAGAGAGAGAGAGAGAGAGAGAGAGAGAGAGAGAGAGAGAGAGAGAGAGAGAGAGAAAGGAGAGAGTGATAGATAAATAGATAGACAGATATATAGATAGATATATACATAGAGAGAGAGAGAGAGATCAAGAGGGAGAGAGAGAAAATGAGAGATAAAATCCAATTCCACTTCATTTATTGTTTTGCTTTCGTCTTCTCTAAACCTTTTTTTTCGTGTTTTTCAGCTTCCTCCCTTTCACCTTCTTTTCTTAACTATTAGGGGTCGCCATTTCGTCTTTTTTTTATATGTATGTATATATATATATATATATATATATATATATATATATATATATATATATATATATATATATATATATATATAGTATATGTATATGTGTACATATAAATCTAAAAGTATATCTAATATATTATGTTTATATTCAAATACACACATGTCTGTATGCACGTATGTTTATATCCATTTTCACACATACACACGAACACATAAACATATATTTTTAGTGTATATATACGTACACGCGTGTGTATATGGTGTGCATTTCTTCCCCCAATTAGCGGTAAAAACAGAAATTTAAGATTATGGCCGTAGATCCAATGCCATAAATAACAATAATAATAACACGAGGGAAAGGCGCGCACGCAAGGAGGAACCTTCCGATGAATTCACTACCTGTTGTCCCATGGTTTCTGTTCAGGGTATTTCTTTCGGTTGGCTTTTGTACAGAAATAAAAGTAGTTTGCTCTCTTTCTACGAGTGGGTTTGTTTTTTTCCGTCGTGTCGAAGGTGGAAACGGAAATCAATATCGAAGTGGAAATGTTACATTTTCTCTCTTCATTTAGGCACTGTTACAAAAAAAAAAAAAAAAAAAAAAAAAAAAAAAAAAAAAAAAAAAAAAAAAGACAGAAAGAAAAGAAAAGAAAGAAAGGTGATACTAATGGTGATTATTATCATTTCGTGATCATGCTTAAGATGGCGATGATGATAAAGATGATATTAGTATGAAATAAAAAGGTTAACGGTAATGATAATGATACTAATTAAAAAGCATATGATGATGCTGTCTGATAAATTTATTATAAATCTCACCAAAGATAAATACTTGTAAGATTAATCAAAATGATTATAAAAAGACAAAATAACAATAAGCCAACAGCAGCGACAACAACAAGAAGAAAACAGAACAGACTTAAATGTTGTGGAAAAATTTTCCCCTACAATAAAAACCATAAAATAAGATTCAGTGGCAATCATATCCGACCTGGCCAGAACAAGGCTGGCTATCATCTTGTCCCCGCAATGATAAGAGATAACGTGAGCTGCTAATGATAACAAATGAGAACCGTAAGAGAACTAGAGACAGAGATAAGCCACAATTTTGTTGGTTTGGTACGATAATTTACTGCGCTTGGTTACGATTGTCGCGGACTCGGAAATGGCCGGGATGGGCTGCCAGGTGTACGATAATGATCTCGATAATTGTTTGTGTGCGTGTGTGAACGTGAGCGTCAATGTGTACGTCATGGCGGTTGGGGGAGTGGGAATCGAACCCGATTTGCTTGCGGGCTTACGATGTGCGCATGCGAGGAAAATAGGCTGGGAGTTGCTTTTATCTCAAAATACACAAGCAAAGGAGCATAAATACATTTGTACGCACAACAAACACCCACATTCTCTCTCTCTCTGTACATCACTCGCACACACACAGACACAGACACACACACACGCACGCACGCACACACGCACACACGCACACGCACACGCAACACACACACACACACACACACACACACACACACACACACACACACACACACACACACACCACACACACACACACACACACACACACACACACAACACACACACACACGCACACACACGCACACACCACACACACATACACACACACACACACACACACACACACACACACACACACACACACCACACACACACACACACACACACACACACACACACACACACATATATTATATTATATTATATATATATATATATTATATATATATATATATATATATATATATAATATATATATATATATATATATATATATATATATATATATATATATATATATATATATATATATATATATATATATATATATATATATATATAAGTATGAATGTATGTATGTATGTTTATACAAATTTTATGTAATTGCTTCGTACTTTAAAATACTTCTTATACAAGAATTACCTCTTCTTCTTCCCTTAAGAAAAAAAAAAAGATTCAAATCATCACGTGATCCCCAAAAATCGCGCTGCAATACAAACACGCCCATTTAGTCCTTTTTCGAAAGAGATATGCAAATTATTTTCTCTTCGCTAAAATCTGGTCCTGAACTGCGAAGATTTAATTAGTCTCCGGACCGGAATTTCTTTTAAGGTCTGATGATGGTCTATGGCTGCCTGTGCTCTCTCGTAGTGGTGGGGTATATATCGATTTACACAGGGGTATCTATCTATTCTATCTATCTCTCTCTCTCTCTCTCTCTCTCTCTCTCTCTCTCTCTCTCTCTCTCTCTCTCTCTCTCTCTCTCTATATATATATATATATATATATATATATATATATATATATGATAGAGTAGAGTATATGGTATGAAAATAGCCAGGGAGATAATAAATAAAGAGAACAGTGACAGAAAAAGGAACGTAGGAAAACCGACAAAAAATAGGAAAAACGAAAAAAAAAAAAAAGAAAAGAAAAACGTGGTAGGCAAAACAACCAGAGAGAAAAACAGATGGAAGAGAAACAAAAAACAATTCGGCAAAAATGAGACCTGCAAAGACCGTAAAAAAAAAGAAAAAAAAATGGAAAGAAAAAAATAGACAGACAGACAAAGAGAACGAGAAATAGATAATCAAGAAAGCCAGCGAACGGATGGAATTGGATCGAGGGAGGAACGAATTTCATTGACAATTTTACTGGTAAAGATTTGACCGTGAATGGCTTTGCGAAGTGCGGTTGGGGTGGGGGGGGGGTGAGGGGGCTTTTTGTGTGTGCGCGTTTGTGCGTGTAGGTGTAGGGGGAAGAGAGGGGAGTTGTGTTTGTTTGTGTGTGTGATGTATTTGTGTGTGCAAGTGTGTGTATAAGAATAGACAGATAGACAAAGAAAAATACATAATCATACATATAAATACACAGAGATAGGTAGCGATACACGTAATATCCACACGCGTAAGACATCCACAAAAAAGCAAATTATAAGAAAAAAAAATAAAAAAATAAAAATGCAACAATAAAACAATAAAAAAAACAAAAAACAAAAAATAAAAAACTAATAAAATCAATCAAAGGCAATTTCCTCTGCCTAATATTCATAATCACAGATATTGCATCAACACTATACAGGGAAGATGGCACAAGCTTCCATAGTGTGATGATCGGGAGAGCAGATGCCTTTGCTATCACTGAAGACAAGATAACCTCTCCTTGCTTGAGATTTACGAGGCAATTTAAGTTTAAGGTTTAAAAAGAAAAAAAAAAAAAAAAAAAAGGATAAAGAATATCTGTAATTAGCATTATTAAGGAGCAATTCATGACATATCATGGGGGATTTTTTTTAGAACGGGGTGGGGGGGGGTGATGGGGGGGTTTAGTAGGGTGACTGCTGTCTTGGGAAACATGTAAACATGTAAATTGAGGAATTCATCGACAGATGAGTAACGAGGCTGATAAACAGATAGATGAGAGAGATGAGAAAAAGAGATAAGTAGATAGAGATTAATAAAAAAACAGATAGATATATAGAAAAAAAATCTGAAAATACCCTTCTTTCTCCCCACCCACTCTCTTTCCCTCTCCTCCTTTCCTCCTTCTCCTTCCCTCTCCTCCTCTCCTCTTGTCCCTCTCTTCCTTCCCTCCCCTCCCCCCCCATTACCCCGTCAACCCGCCCTATAACAGGGGGCAAAAGGGGTTTACCAGTCATTAAGGAGAGATAAGACACGCCTATATCTCCTTTGGCTGACAT